ATCTCAGAGTCACGGTTATTGCAGCCAAATAAGGAATGAGGGGTGACGTGGTAGTCGTAATGGTTTTACGTATATGTCATGTCTGAATGACCAATAAACGAGAAAAAAAAAAAAAAAAAACACACTCACACAGACACACACAAAAGTTTCACGCTACGCTGACATTCTGATGTACCTAGACCGTGCGTGACTTTTTTTTCACACAAGCGACAAGATTCACGCAAATGCCAGCGGAAATCACAAAATTATCAGGCAAGGCTAGAGGCTGACAAAGTATAAAATCTTCAAAAACAGTCAGTTTCCTTTGCTCATTTATATCACTAATGTATGAAGTTCTTTGTACGTATTACCTTGGTTCGATATGCATACTTAAGAATGGATGAGGATGGAAAAGTTTAATACGGATGGTAAGAGAGTAGGCCGGATAATTTGTGTTAAGATAAACTCTTGAAATTTTCCAAAAATACCTTCCGGTTAAGTGAGAAGCCGTTGTTTAGAAGTTTAGCCCACGTTCATTCGCCCAAAGAGTCTTTTCAGGGGGTTACTTCGTTTTTCAATTAAGATCGCACTTATTTTACACCAGCTGTTGACAGCTCCAAATATTAAATGGGAGCAAACATATCACGGTGTCAAGTAATTAACGTCACGCGGCGCTGAATTAACTAATCAGAGCTGTGGTTTTATTTAGGAACATGTGACAACATGAAACGCGAACGAAGACATGGGCAACAACTATGCCGGAAAATTCATTGACTCAAGCGAGTCACAGAAATCATACTCTAATGTAACGACAATGATAATACTCAGTTAAAGGAAAATACAAAACAGATCAATATAGATCTCTGTGCGGGAACTTCTCGCGTGCCATAATAAGTCTTTGCAACCGGCAAATATAATTCACGATCGTTATTCGGAAATTAGGTCTTATTTCGGGCGGCTTTAATTTATCTGTCATGTTTCGATATTCATGGCAAGGGACAAAATTATCCATAGCCTTCACTCAAATTAAAAAAAAAGCTACCTAAAGCAATTACAAAGGTGACGATATTCCGCTCGGCTACTCTCCTGTCTCATGAAAATTTGCCGCAGGATATTTTTCTGATCCTACTGAGAAGTAAAATGATGCAGTTAGATGTAGGTGTCTGAGCGCAAAAGTCCCCCTTAAAAGCACTTTTTAGGCACCGTGCTTTTTCTTATGTCGTGCGTGCGAATACACAGACGGCGTTATTGTGATCATCAATTTTACGTTTAAAGTCTTTAAAGGCTTCCGCGTACTTACCATTAACCAAATCTTTCAAATACTTGATTATTCGTATTTAAAATTCATTTAGCTTTACAGTGGCATAGACTTTTCGAGGGTTTTA